CAGTACATGTTGTGCTTAAAGGGGACCCAAGCATAAGGGACGTGCTCTAATGAAGTTATATCAAGTTGGTGCACCAATGGATAGAGCAGCCATTGACATTGCTGGTCCTTTGCCCCAAACTCGTCCTGGAAACAGGTACATTTGTGTGGTGATGGATTATTTCACCAAGTGGCCTGAGGCATATGCAATATCAAATCAGAAAGCTACAACTGTAGCTTCGGCTATTAGTGATTTCTTCTTTAGATTTGGTATGCCATACGAACTGCATTCAGATCAAGGCCATAACTTTGAATCAGCTGTGTTCAATGAATGCTGCAAGTTGTTTGGTATACGAAAGACCAGGACAATGCCATTTCACCCACAGTCTGATGGGATTATAGAAAAGTACAATTGGACACTTGGACAGGAATTGGCAAAGTTTTATAATAGCCGCCAAGATGACTGGGATGTCTTACTCCCTCCACTGAAGCCACTGGATACACTCCAGCAAAGCTGATGTTTGGTCGGGAACTTCGGTTGCCAGTGGATCCGATAACAGAATATCCACCTTACGAAGAGTTGCCTGAAAATGTGTCAGAGTTCATGAAAGTGTTATCTGAAAGGAGGGATGATATTCATCATCAAGTGTGTTCAAAATTGAAAATGTCTCCTGATTCCATGAAGTTATGTTATGATAAGAGATTTACTGAAGTCAGCTTTGTACCAGGAGACAAGGTGTGGTTCTATAACCCCAAGAAGACCAAAGGGAAGTCTTCTAAGTTGTCCATGGGAAGGCCCATATGACATAGTGGATCGTCTCTCAGACGTGTCTTTCCGAATAAAATGTGGTCGGCGAGGTAAGCCAAAGGTGGTACATGCCAACAGGCTTTGGCATTATCATGATCCAGGACATTTCAGTTGGAACAAAGTGAACAATGGAACAAATGACTCTGCTGAAGACGTGTCACCTGAAAAAGCCACTGTCAAAGAAGAAACTCTACTCGGTTTTGAGAAGAGAAACAGTGAAGCCCTTAATGAAGTTACTACCACTGATGTGACTGTTACCAATAATAGGACATTTTCTGATGGAGCAGATGGATCCCACCTAGAAGCAGAAGCCAACGAGACAGAGACCAGTATGGAAGAAGATACATCCCGTAAAATTAAGAGACTTTGTGGAATTTTAATTGTGTTTGTAGATTCTGTACATTTAATCAAGTTATTGTTAATTATCTATCGGGTTAATGTAAGTGGCTATTTTTTGGGATGAACAATATTAAGGAAGGGGCAGTGTTACAACAGCAGAAATCACGTGATGCTGGTAACACGTGATTAGTTTCTAGAAGGATCGTGAAGGCTCGAGTGTTTGCCAGACGCCCTCTATTTTTGTATATATAAGCCAGGCCAATAAAGCAGAGAGAAGAAGTGATGGCATAGATAATCGCAGATAGAGATATAGAGACAGATAATCGAGTCAAGCCGTAAGTAAAGTGTGTAAATCATTGTGAATTATAGCACGTGTTTAAGTTAAAGTGACTGTGGAAATTCTGTGAATTGCAAAGTTGTATTGAGAAAGAATAAACTAGTTTTATTTAAGAAAGGACTTGTATCGCTAAAGTTCCTCGGGAAGAATTTACACCGGGAAATTAACAAACGACCAGAGACGTAACAATATGTTAAATTACATAGACGGACCTATTAGGGTTTGTGATCCTAACTCAGGTATTTATTCAGTACCTATTGTAACTTGTAACTATGTAATATTCACAGGAATTAAGAATAGAATATCTGAACTATGTAAGAAAAGAATAATTATTCATAAACCATTCTATTTTTATAAAACTAGAACTCCAGGATCTTGGTTATTTAACACTATAGATGAACTTACTTTATCAGTTGTATGTCCAAAGCCAAACGTACATTAGTTTGATTATCATACTAGAGTACTTAAGTTAAACAATAGTGGTTATCCAAAATTAGCTACAAATTGTTCAGCTCATGGTCAAGGTATTACCTTACCATCTAACTTTAGAAGTGAAACTAAGTACACAGGAACTAGGTTAAATATAAATATTCCAGAATTACAAGAACTACTAACTAAAAAGGAATTACAGTTAATTCAGAGTATAGCAGTAGATACAGATGTTAAAGAGCTGACAGATATATTAAGGACACTAAACATTTACCTCCTAGAAAATCAGGATTAAGTCTTAAGGATTTTCAACTGCATGTAGATCAATTACGAGCTACAGCTGGAGGACAGGGGTTGGATAATTGGAGATTATCTAACTCAATGATGATAACCTTATGCTTAGTAGTAGTACTAGTAAGCATAACATTGTATATCAAAGAGATAAATTGGCTTTAGTAAAGTTAATGACATTAGATGGGCTATGTAGAACTAGAAAGAAGAAAAGAACAAAAACAAGCAATAATGAATTGTCTGAATATTCTGAAGCTACTGAAATAGTAGAACTGAATGAGTATGCCCCATCTAATTAGGGCACAGCTTGATTATATAGAGGATTACAAAATTATCTAGATATAACCAATTGGCGAGGTTAGTTGATTTATAAATAATGATACTAGTCAAAATTATAGCCAAAATTATTAGGAATAGAAAAGTTCGAGAACAGACAAAAAGTAATAAACAGTGACCAGAAGTAAGAGACAAATGAGGTTTATGACCAGTGACCTCAACATCGAGACGAAAACAGAGATTTAGACAGTACAACGAATCCAGAAATAAGCCACACGGAAGGACAGAAACTTCTATCAACGACTGACAAGTATTGATAATGTGTTAGTGAATTGAAGTGGGACAAGTAATAACAATTTTCTTATAATAATAATAATAGGAAACAAGGACAAAGAGCCACCATCGTAGAGGTGGAAGGTTTTAGAATTAATGGACAATACACAATAAAGGAGTTGGGTATTAAAGATTGTTGTTCTGGGTGGACTGACATCTATTGCTTCAGGCCTCCATATCCTGAGGATTGCCTAAGTGACACCAATAAAAGACACATCTTGTGGTGTACTGTGTATCTCCATGGCCTCCGTTGGACTGATGGAGACTATTCCATGTTGGACTTCTTACAGATTCGCTAGGGGATAAAACAGGACTATGTAAAGATATACACCAAGGACAGAGAAAAGGCACAGCTGTTACAGAGACAACTAGGTATTCCATGCCAAGATGTAGAAGAGTATGGGTGCCTACCATATAGACATCTGGACTGCAGTGAACAGATAACGTGTGATTATCACCGTTACCTCCACAAACATTACACATATTGGAAAGTGAGTGCTTTGTATGGATGGATAGCCACCAGTAATTGGGATGTGTTCCAGAACTTTAGAAACTATTTCTAGAGTGAATAGAAACTTGTATTTTGTTGTAATAACATAATGTTACCATATACATTGTTATATGCAGTGTTTAGAAATTGCTAGTTATGCTTAATAGGATAAAGTTTTATGTGTTTTATATATATAATCCTTTATGTATAATCGTATATATATATATATACATGTATATATTGTAAGCATTGGCTGATGAAGAGAGATGGAGATAGTGAGTTGGATGATAAATTTTGTTACAAGTAACAAAATTTTTCTAAGGAAGGAGGAATGAAGCAACTTGAAAATGTTTAAGGAAATTTTACAATTGCTTCAGGGTTTTATTAGTCGAAAATACATAGAATAGAACTTAATAGTTTTTAGTATAAGTAAGTAGCCAAGGATATATATAAAAAAGAGGCGACAAGAAGATGCCTGTGTTACGAAATAAGCTTGTGAAATGAGCTTGAGAACCAGTAAACAAGGTCAGGAGCCTAGTTATGTAAGAAGCATCGCCTAGAAACAAGCAACAAGACATGTGTATTCCGAAATAAGCTTGTGTGACGAGCTTGAGAACTAGTAACCAAGGTCAGAAGCATAGTTACATAAGAAATGTTGACTGGAAACAAGATGAATGCACTAGTACTTATGATAAGTTGATGGATTACTGACCTCAACCCCTTAGAACTAGGAAAGCTACAGAAAACTTTGGTTTGGTGAATCATATTGGCACATTAGAGGTAATATCAGTTACAGCGCATGGGTGTATCAGTAGAAGGGAATAGGCAGCTGGCTAACACCACTTATCTATAACCAATTACTTGAGAGTTTTGGTTATGTTCTGGTTTAGCCCTGGAATTCCCTAAAGTATCCAATAGGAGCACAGGACTACTTTTGGGTGATGCTGTGTTCTATTTAGTGGGTCGAAATAATACTAAGAAAAGTTAATTAAAAAACTCATGTCAGAGACCGAAAAATCAGTAAGTTCCTACAGGGATCAGAAAGTTCTCTCAGGAGTTCCTAAGTTCTGAAGAATGAAGGTACCGAATGTGGCTAAGACCTCCAACAAACCAAATCCACTGTAAGTACAATCTCTCTCTCTCTTAATCAGTTAGTGTAGAATCATAGAAGATAGCAAATGTATCTAAATAACAGTGTTTAATACAAGTATATGAGTAGTAATTCAATATAACTAATGTTCAAAGTTTGTAATG